ATATATATATATATATATATAATATGATAGAGCGCGAATGGAGAAGGGAGCTCTGCTAGGGTTTTGCGGGGATACTTGAGCGATCTTCAGAGTCTGAGGATGGATCTTCTTCTTTCGGCTGGTGAGATCTTTCCAACATCTCTTGAGATTTTTGATTTTGTCTTTACCCTCTCACTGAGCATTTTCGCGTTTTGTTGCATTTCTTGTTTCGATCATGTCGCCGGTTTCTCAAACTTTTGTTGATGTCATGTTAGATGGGGGAGGAGTTTCGTCTGCACCTTCCTCGGAATTTTTTCCACAAAGTTTTCATGTCACCCTTAATGTTGGTGGAGATTACACTTTTATAAAAAAATTAGGGGAAAAAGCGGTAAACTTGCACTTTATGACTCTTGAGGATGAAACTTCTGTGCTTGCCTCTTCTTGTCGCCTTGCCCTAGTTAGAAAATTTACTTATGACATTCCTAAGGTTGAGTTCATACAAAGGGAGTTTGAAATGATAAAATTAAAAGGCTAGTGGAAGGTTGGTATCATTGATGGTAAACATATTTTCATTCAATTAGCTAATGACGAGGATTACACTCGCCTCTTTGCCAAAAGGTTTATGTGGGTGGATAGTAGTTTGATGAAATTTCGGAAATGGTCTATCCATTTTGATCCTAAAGCTGAATTGCTTATTATTCCGGTATGGATTCATTTTCTAGAGCTTAAACTACATCTTTTTAACCATGAAATATTTTTTTCACTTGCTGCTGCGTATGGGAAACCTTTAAAAATGGATCATGCTACTTTCACTTTACCGAGACCTTCTGAAGCACTCATATTGGTTGAACGAGATATTACTCAGGCTTTTTGTAATGAAATTCAGATAGGCTCACAAAATTAAGGTTATTGACAGCCTGTTGAAATTGAAAGATATTCTCCTTACTGCACTCATTGTTCTATATTTGGGCATCAAACTACCTCATCCTTTTGTCTGAATCCTCAACTCAAAAATACCCACAATGTAAGGCAATCTAGTAGTTGACCAACCTTTTTCTTTTTGTAAATCGACAATTACAAGAATTTGATGACGCTACTAGAAGATTTAAATTCCAGCAACGGTGTCAAAATTATGACTGCGACTTTATATATATATGTGTTTGATTTAATAAAGATGTATATATATAATATTCAATAATGTCAAAGTCGAATTTGGCAACACAAGTATACGTATCACTCAAGTAATATAGGACTTTAATGGAGTCTTAGTTATCGATCCCATAGGGAGAAATTGAATACTACGGACAAAGGCTTAATAAAAAGTAATACTTCAACTACAACTACGGTGTTTAATTTGCTTATCTATCACTAATAGACAACTGAAATAAGTAGATAATTTGGATAACAAATAAATAACTAATGATAGAAAGTAGGGTTTAATTTGTGATATTCAATATATAAGAAAACATCCTTCTCCTTGTCAAGAAATAATAGTGAATGGATCAAATGAATTAGTTCAATTTATATTGTGCCAAATAGGAGCATACATATTCTTTACCCTTTGGTCCATGCATAAAGAACATTGACTAATCATATGCTTGGTTACTGATTTTGCAGCTAGGTTGGGAGGATGCCAGCTCTCACTTCGGAGCTCCCACGTTCCCCTCACCTGAGGGCTAACATCTACACATTAGCACCCAAACCATAGGACCAGGATAAATAAATATATCTTTCATGTTCAACTACGTTATCATTAATTATATTTGATTATGAGTTTTCTTCCATGAATTTTAATATAAATATTCTTCTATTTCATCATCAGAGTAACTTATATTTATTAAATTATCTTCAGTTTGAGATAGTTGGTACAATTCTTCTTCACTATCATTGTTAGAGATATTAAAAATAGGTTCTTAAGAAAATATCATCACAATTTCTTAAAAATTTTCATGATTTCACCAATTCAAATCACCATTTCACAAATCTCAAGA